CGCAATTAGATTATTTTCCATAATCGTTCAGCCCTAGTTACAATGTGCTATTACAACTGAAGGCACTGCGCACGTTCATGCACAGTAACAGTGACTGGGATTAAGGCTGGATGAATATATCGACCTTTGACGACAGGCTGAGCCTTTCGCCCATCGCTCTCACACCAGCGATTTATTTATCTGCCCACGAGTACGTTTGCTAATAATGTTGGTGGAAGCTAAGAGAACGAGTCAATGCAAAAAAATAATAGAGCTGTATTAACGGCACAGCGATTCAGTTACTGAAACTCAGAGCAGAACGACCGGCAGCAGCCTGCGTTCAGAAACAAAAAACATTGAATTTTAATTAAAAACTACAATGATGGGAAACAAAGAGACACTGGCTTTGTTTTTCCACTCTAAACCTGTTTATCTGTCTCACACACTCCACCAAACAACAGACACAAATGTCAACACAAAGTAAGTAAAAATCTAAATGTCTCACCCAGCGAACATTAATAAATCTCAGACGTAACGTTAAGTCTTTTACCTCAAATAAACGAATAATCCAAACAGCAGCTGCATTAATACTGAAACAAGCAAAAGGTCAAATATCCCCTCCAAACAAAACGTGTAAATTCTGAACGTGCGAATCAGTCTGTGCATGATTACAAGGCTCCGCCCATCAAAATGTCACCTATCATCGTTCACTGGACTGACGATTGTCCACTGGAAAGAAATGTACGTATCGCCCAACCTTAACTGGGCTGCTCGAGACCTGACTGTAGATAACGTCAGGGTCAGCTGCTCCACACAGGCTGTTTATGACGTGAACCAGCTTACAGACAGAAACAGCTGCCAACACTCAGACGGTGCTTACTATTAGTTTATCACATCATCACCATCATTTGCCTCACACAGTAAACACTGAATCACAGCATAGAAAATGATGTTCTTATATTTGCTGTGTTCCCGTGTAACTCCGCCCCTCCTCCCTGACTGATGCAAAATTCCCTCCAATCATCACACTGAACTGTACTGAAGTAAAAAGGACTTTACTAATGCACGACCTTTATCGGTTAATATTCATCCTAATCTGGAGCTGAGCTATTGACCTGAACAATAAGTGGCTTTTATCCCAGCAGTGTGATGTTGAGCGTCAGGTCCTGGCATGAAATGATTACAGCACAGCATCTTCTCCTCTACACTCACACAGGATGGTAAAGAGTGTCCTCTGCTAAAGGAGGCAGCGAGGCTCCTTTCCTTAGTATCTGGAGAACTGGAAAAGCTTGCATTGTGACCACCACACAGACACGTCCAGGTCACGTCTCTTGCAAAGTGGGCACAGACTCACAGACATGCTGACGCACAAAAACACACAGATACAATAGTGTCTGAACTCTTTTGGCTCCCAGAGTCTGACGGAGTCTGTTTAGACTCCATGCAGAGCTTACTTTATTTGACTGGAGTTGAGATTATTTACTTTTGCATTTAACAGAATGTTTTCTTTAAACAAATCAAACTTTAGTAAGCAAAGGAAATACAAACTGTTGCTGACAGACGTGTGCAGTTAAACTTAAAAACACTTTTCTCTTCTTACTGCTCATTAATAATCGATCACTACAGTAACCAGCAGCTTCAGCCCTAACATCATACGCTAGACGTCGTCCTCAGCCAGACTGAAGCTTTCCCTCAGAAACACGGGCAGCAGCCTCTCCGTCAGTGACCGAGGGTTATTCATCAACACGTTGTTGCCAGCGGCTGCTCGTGTGGCTACGACCACTCAAATTAGTTGTGGTTCTTTAAGCAAGGACAACGGCTGTCTGGGGTCACCCACATGCCTGGCATTCCTCCACTGCTAGTCCCGATGGTGGGAGAACACGGTGCACGGAAAAACCTCCACAACAATAACATGTTGTATAAACACCCAACAGTGACGCATGAGCAACACAACCAGACGCAAAAAACAGCAACTGACCGTCTGTGTCGATTTTTACTGTTCTAACAAAAACATCTGTTCAACCCTCCATCAAAGAGGAAGCAGAGCGTCCACTGGTGGAACAAAATCCCATTACCACTGGGTCACTAACAAACAGCCCGTCCTGGCTCTTATTGCAGGATTCATCAAACAGCATTGCGGGATTAACACAGAGGCTCTCCTCTCATTCAGCAAACACAGCAGCAGGGCTGCCACAGACCATTATTGTGATAGTCGACTAATCAGATCATCGTCCATTGGACGTAAAACTACAGCTTATTGCACCAGCAGCATCTGCTCTTATATAACTATCATTAGCTTACAGCTTGAAGTGTTTCAGGTGCTAACTACAAATAAAGACAAGATGATAGTTTATTAAAGTTTAATGAAGTTTGCAGATTGTTTCGGTGAAGTTTAATAAACTCCTTGCTATCTAAAATATAACAGGACACCGGAGTAAACTCTCGACCGTCTCACACTTCTGTTTAATCAGCTGTCTGCTTGATGTTTATTCAGCTGTGTGAAAACTATAACTTTAATCTCAGCCAAACAGATTTACTCAGCAACAAATAAAACACTGAAAAAAGCCAAACAATAACATTTGTAAGTTATCTAAGTGACTCATATATCATGTTTAACCTCAGTAGCGAAAGACAGCGGTGGGTTTGAAAATGATGTGCTGGGAGTCCGCTGTTCTCGCCGGCTCCACTGAGCCCTCTAGCTGGTGGGGAACAGCTGAAAACATCGGCGCACTTTTGCAAACACGGTGTCCTGATAAACCGAGCAGATGTTTGAGGTTTCCACAGCTACATTCTCCCCTGAAAATATGTTAAACGTTTATTTTGTGACCCAGAAAGAGTAATAAGAGTAATATTAACACTAAGTAGCTGCCGCCATTGTTGGACACTGGAATTGGCTGGGCCGCGCTATGAATTCTGGGATATGGTGGGCCACAAAGGACACACCCGACCCATCCTTCAAATCTGGGGAAATGAAGAACGCATTTTTCGGCCGCGTTTGGGGGAGTCTTTGAATTTGGACAGGCTTCACCGCGTCGCTGCGAAGCCTGTCTTAAATCCTGCTACTTATTCCTGCATCTTTCTGGATCTTACACAGCTTCAAACGACGCGTCGACTATTAAATCAGTCGTCAATGTAATCGTGACTAGTCGACCAATCGTGGCAGCCCTAACAGCAACAAACATCATAATCGATTCAAAGTTAGCTTCCTACCACACTGTAACCATGTGACATCGTGGCCTAACCCTAACACTATTCAATAATTACTTGAACGTCACCCACCCTCGTCTACTCTACTGAGCGTCCACTCTTCTAGCAAAACTTCAACATTGGGAAACAAAACAACAGCTCTTGAATGGCACTGCTTCTCTGAGGTTCGTGCACCATTTCCAGCTCATCTGCTGCATTTATACATTTGCAAACATGCGTATACTTTGAATTCTGTATGTAGTACTGTGTACGTGGGCTAGTCTGCAGGAGATCGGTTTCTACGTCTCAAGATATGTCACGATTTTCATTACTTACTGTGCTAAAAATGGAGGAGGAAAATGGGAGGGAAGAAGGAAGGGAGGGAAGTGACAAAGCACCACCTCGTGCCCGTTAGGGTGGAGGATGATGAGTACTAGTGACACCATCCAATTTAGCTTGCTGCCTGTGCTCAGCTGTGTGCGGATGCTGCTGAAGCAGGAGTGGGAGCTGCATGGGTGTGGTGCTGAACAGCAACGTGGCACAGAGGTGGCAGTGAAGATGCTTCATGCAGTCTACACTGTAATCCACAGCCACTCGTGGTCCAATTAAATCAGACTTGCGTTAATGTGAGGATAACAAAAGAAAGAAGGACTGATGATGCTCCAAACGTGCAACATGACAAGCCTCCCGCTGAACAAAGAGCAGAAGTGCCTCCCCTTTGTTTGTGTCCCTGAGCCAACATATCATGAGTATATGAGGACCCCACGGGGGCTTTAATGACCTCAGCTGAAATCACGCTTCCCCACTCATCACGAGCTCTCTGTATACACAAAGGAATGTCACACAATGAAGCGCAAAGAACACAGATGCAGGTGAAGGCTGTACCTTTAAGAAAACCCTTCACCTGTAAGAGTCACGCGATGGTTTTAGCGACCACGATGTTTTTTTCATGAAAAACGAATAAAAATCTGGGCTCAACACTCGCGAGCACGAGCAGCAGTGCACGAGCAGCAGTGCACGCGCCTGCCCTCGTCACTAACCGTGCTGGCTACTTCAAAGCTGCGTTTCCTTAAACACTTCCACTGTAGCCGACTACGCTGCTGCAAACATGCAGCGGAGCGATGCAGCTCTGGCATTTACGCAGCAGCTACTTCAGCATTTATTTACACGAGTTCTTGTTGAAAGTTACAGCAGCGCTAAACGAATGTCTGACAGAAGCTAACGGGCTAGCGTCTGCTCGTCAGGCAGAAAACTACTGAAGTCAACCAGCAAGTTACTCTTTAAGCATTTATCCACGTAGAATAACGGAGTTATTTATCAGACTCACATCAAAGGTTAGTAATGCTCCTCAAGATGAGTCCCGACCAGAACACTAACAACGCGTTTGAGATGGTAAATACAGATATTTACATAAATCCCAGCAGGAAAAAATGCTTGTTCCCAATTTCAATTAATGTTTGACAAAAAGCAAACAGCCGTCCGTGATGCGGCCAACTTTCTATCAGCCACACTCGGACTGTTCCTTCAGACGGTCCTGTGCTGGTCCAAAGCAGGGTCGGAACGGGTGACCAAAACCGAGCTTAGCACGCTGAACCGTCTCAGCGCCGTGTGACTTGTTGCTGCCTTATCCTTTCCCCCCAGACTATAAACATTCATCAGGCAGACAGCAGCAGACTGGCCGCAGACCCTACGCCATTTTAGTTAGACACAACCCGCTTCTTGGGGTTCTTGAACAAAGAGCACTTCTAAGGGAAGCGAGTCGAACCAAGAGTGCAAGTTTCGACAAATACACGAAAACACACGCACATCTACTGTGTTCATTTCAGATCACTTACCATTATTTTCTTGTATCCTTGTCCCAAAAAGAAGGACGACCACAAAAAGCCGTACTGCACCCATCGTGGCTGCGAACCAGACTGCCACTCGACTGCTAACTTCTCCCTGCGCAGAAGAAGACGGCCGCTGATAGGCTGACGGAGCAACGAGCCCGCCTGGCCGGGACCTGCTCAGGAGTAGAGCGCGCTGATTGGCCAATGAACGTACGACACCCCGCCCACTAGAGCAACTGTAACGCGCCTGTAAACAAACCGTGTTCACTGCATTAACAAAGAATGTTATAATTCAGTTACATTTATATTACTTCAGTACTGCACCGTGTTCGTATATTTCTAATAGAAACCAAACCATTCTTAGAGAATAGAATAATAAAGTCTTACAAAGGTGATATGTGCTTTTCTTTACACTCATTTCTCAGAGTTTTTATCTGATTTAGTGCAGACAAAATAATTATTGTGGGTGACTTTAACATTCAGAAAGAACATGTCACCAGCTGCTCTGTTAATATTAGCAGCAAACTCAAATAGCAACCAAACGGGTTTAGGGGAGGAAGACAGGACAAAGACTCTGTCGAAGAGAGCCAGCGATGAATAATTCCAAAAAATGTTATTGCAGATTTGTGTATTAACACATAGTGAGTGAAGAAGAAACACCCAGTGCATCATGGGAATCCCCGGCAGCCTACACCTATTGCAGCATAACTAAGGGAGGATACAGGGTCACCTGGTCCAGCCCTAACTATATGCTTTAGCAAAAAGGAAAGTTTGAAGCCTGATCTTGAAAGTAGAGATAGTGTCTGTCTCCTGAATCCAAACTGGAAGCTGCTTCCACAGAGTAAATACTCTGCAAGTCTGCATCCTCTCCCTTTCAAACCATTCTGCAAACTCGGGCTCTGGTCTGACATACATTTCTATTTTCTACAAATGGTGAGTTATGTTTGCATCACACAACAAATATTTGTATGTCCTGTATTCCTTTATGCTTTTTCAGTTATGACGATAGGGAAGGCTTTTTGCATTTTAAGATTTAAGTTGTAAATGCTTTGAAGGCTCAGTTGGTTGACTCACTTCATAAAAATACTTAATTAACAACTAGTAAATACCTGAATTAGCCATGAATTGCAAAATGAAATAACACATAAACCCTCATTTCATAATCTGTGCATGTATAAATGTGCATCTAAATATGTTGTTAAACATTTACTTGGACTTTCTAAATGGCTTTAAGAGTTCCTAAATAACTTGTTTGTAGTTTCCAGAACAAGCCATAAGAACACGTTAAAGTAAAACTATGTCCAGGCTGCAAACAGCTGCTGATAACAGAGCAATGAAGGCAGCATACATGATAAAGATGAGTGCTGGCCCCAGCAACGCAGCCATAGCTGGATCTTCAACAGCTGCAGTCAAAATTGCAGCTTAAGCTTATCAAAGGTTATAGAGTCCTGGGTAAAGTTTATTATTATTATTAGTAGTAGTAGTATAAAACAGCAAACACAATTAATTTAAAAAAATTTCAATGGAATTTCAAAACACATCCAACCTACAGTATCTGCGAAATATGTAGACAATTTGATTACATACAAAACATGTAGTATGACAGCAAAGACAAATTGGTCAGCTTCACAGAGTTGAGTGTTTCTTCTTTGATTGGTTAATGCTTACAAGTGGCGAAGCAGACAGGAAATGCCATTATGGACTTCAAAATGTGACATTATTGACAAACAGTTTTATGTCAAAAAAAGATGACATTTGTTTCTATTCCATCAATTTTGTAAAAAATTTTTTTAATTAAAATCAAATATAACAAAACTACAAAAGCAAAACAAAGAAAATTGCAGTAAATGATAAACGGATTGGTACAGTGTTGGTCAAGTTACTTGAAAATAGCAATAAGTTACTAATTGCTCATTACTTCTCCAAGAAAGTAATCCTGTTACTTTACTAATTTGTTATTTTCAAAAGTAATTAGTTAATTTATTACTTGAACATGATACACAACCTGAATATGTAATAAAGCAATAGATCTTTCAGCACAGTTCTATTTTTTCTGCATAATAAATCATATAAAATGTAATCAAATGAAAAAGTCTATTTTTAAAACATGTTTTATTCGTTTTAATCTTTTAACTTTATGCACATTGTATCAAACAAAAATTAAAAAAAAATTTTTGTTTAACATTTAAACCTATTTTCTGAATATTCCAGCATATAAAATAAATAATTTTTTGTGTTTACACTCACTCTTTCAAATAGATGAAAGTAAAACACAGCAGAAAATAAATAAAATCAACGATTCAGCAGCTCTGAGTCCTGTCGCTCTTAGATCTATCGTCTGTGTTTAGCAGGAGTGGGGCAGGTGGAGGTTTGCCCACAGTGGTGATGTCAGTGGGGGATCGGGGGTTTCTCTGTGAGTGTCACATTCCCGTGGCAGCGTGCTCGCTCAGATTTGAAGTTTAATTTTTCGCTGTAGGAACAAGCTTTCTTCCCACGCAGAGTGCACAGCAGACGCTGATGTTTTTGTCACTTTTTACGGACTAAAACTTAAAGTAATGCGAGTACTTCCACGTTTTAAACGCTGCATGGTCACACTCTATCCCGCGCTGCATATTGTTGATCTACACACGTCTGATGCTGCCATGGGCGCTGCACGCTCGTATGTCATTGTCATGAGACACTCTCAGTTTAGTAACGTAGCGTCCGTACAGGAACGTAACTGTAATGTAATTACTTTTTTGCAACAGTAACCCCTTGCATTACTCGTTACTTGGAAAAAGTAATTGGATTACAGTAACTCGTTATTGCCCATCTCTGCTGGTACAGCTAGGTCCATAAACTTTTGATCAATGACAAACAATTTTTTGAAAGGTTTTTAAATCATACATCTGCGTAACAACTGTGATGGTCTGACATTCAAGCGGTGATTCAAGTCCAGACTTCGAGCATCAATTCAAGAATTTTAATTATAAAGGACAATTTAATGTGCAGGAATTACACTACTTCAGCATCGAGCTAGTGCTACTGAACAGGACAGAGAATAAAGGAAATAACGTTTTATAAGTGGCAGGTCCTTTCAAATTCAATGCTTCTATAAACTCAACAAACAGAAAACACAGTGCTGCACAGTGTGTTGCTAGCTAAAGCTACAGCTGTGGTGATCTCCAGAGAAAGAAAAGAGTGTGAGATAACTTCACTCAGAGATGGAGAAAGATATCAGAAAGACAGGACAGGAGAGGAAGAAAGCAGTTATATTTGTATAGATTTATATTATTGAATACTGTGATGTATGTAGGACAGCATGGTGGTGTTAGCACTGTCACCTCTGTATGGAGGATGTTGTCCCTGTGTTTGCCTGGGTTCTGTCCATGTACTCCCGCTTCCAAAGACATGCAGTTAGTGGGGTTAAGTGGGGATTCTAAACTGCCCATAGGTGTGAATGTGTGTGTGAATAGTTGTCTGTTTCTCTGTGTTAGCCATGCGACAGACTGGCGACCTGTCCAGGGTCTACCCTGTCTATCACCCTATTGTGTCTGAGACAGGCTCCTGCCCATTTTCTTGCTGAAGCATCCACCCTCATTTTGTCTGTATCCTCTTAGTAGATGCAAGAGAGTTTTATCAAGAATGTCTTGGTATATTTTTCTATTTATCCTTCCTTCAGTTATATAAAGTGTACCAGGGCCGCATGCTGACAAACAGCCCCACACCACGATGTTCCTACCTCCAAACTCCATGCCTTTTGAACATGGTGTGTACTATGGCATCAACTTTGGTCTCATCTGACCAGAGCATACTCAGTATTTTACAGGCTTAAGTAAATGTTGTTGAGCAAACTGTAAACGTGCTTCAACCTGCATTGGAGTTTTGCGTAGTGAACATGCATACAGTGCATTACTTGTTGTTTGAAAAATTGCTGATTCCAGGTCTGTCTGGAGCTCTCCACACGTGCTCCTTGGCTGAACATTTTGATCATTTTTTTGTAGTCCTCTGTTTGAAAACTTGAGGGAAGCAACTCGTCATGGCCAGTTTATGGTGAAATGATGCACCATGGCCCAAGAGAGACTGTATAGTGCCATGCCAGTTGTAGGAAGAGGACTCCCTTACTGCATTTATTTATATTGTATTGTCTGTATAGCACTTTAGAGCACACCTTTCACTTATTAAAAGCACCTTATCAAGCACTTTATGAGCATTGCACTTTAAGCATGGATTTGCACACAAGAAGTTTAAATATTTATGACTATTTATTGGAATTTTAAAATCAGTTGTGGCCTTGTTTCAGATCCTGCACAGCTGCTCCTCATCAGGAATGTGGTGGTTGTCTGTCAGGAGAGAAGAATGGTGATTGTGATTAAGGTTACCAATAAGGAAAACTAATGCAAATGTGTGTGTGAAATCTAGGGATAAAAGTGGTGCAATAAGTGTTTGTAAGTTAATGATTACTCACCTTCTTGCCTGTGTCCTCTTCAAGGTGTTTGGGCAAATGTTCCCCGGGGTCCAGACACCATTTAAAGGTTCCGGGAGAGACCATGGGTAAAGAGTGTGGTGAATCTTTTTGTGCTTGGGTTTCTGGTTTTTATAATATTGGGTTTTGTGTAACATTAAAGTGTGAAATATTTATTAATATGTAAATGTGAGATGTATTTATTTATTCTTATTGATATATTGTATACTGTGGTGGAAGGTTGGATTTAAGAATTTACCTGAGGTGGAATAATGGTTAAGTCTGTGACAGCTAACATATTTAAGGCTGCCAGTTGTCATTAGGGATTTTTGTGCTGTAAAGAAGCTCGACAAGTTAATTGTTTAAGGAGAGCCGTATAGCGAATAAATACTTTGTTCCACTACACTTGCCTTGGTCTGTCTCACTGTGTTTCCAGCCGCTAAGGGCTGCCCTGTTACAAGTGGTGTCAGGAGTGTGTCACTCATGCCACAGTGAGAGATGATGACAAGAGGTGGAAGAAGCCAGGCCAAGAGGAGCAGCCTGATGAAGGAGTTGGAGCTTCATCTGAGCTAGAGGCCATGGCAGCAACAAGCCCTGAGGACAATTGGAGGAGTTAACAGGGTTGGTGAAATCTCTTATCGGTCTCAAGCAG